GTATTCTATGTATATTACGGATATATTCACAAAAAAATCTAACTGTTTATATCAGTTGCCTAATACCTACCCATAACACAAGTTCTGCTTACTGTAGGATTAGATAGGGCTGTGTCAATTGTTTATTTATTTATTTAATTTCTTTTTCTTTGTATGTCTACAGATTTTCGTGTGTATTGTTATGTTGGCGACGGCTATGGTCGTCACCGCTGACATGCCAACCGATGCGAAACTCCCTGACCAGAAACTGCCTGATACCAAGCTTCCTGATATACCTAAACTGCCCGACACTAAAGGACTTCCGGGTTTAGGAGGAAAGCGGAAGTAGCAGTATAATCTTCGGAACCTATCTAACCCAGACGAAACTAATCGCTTACCTAGTTTCATTTAGCAGAATTACTGATGTAATTGATAAAATGATAGTTTAACTGGTAAAAGCTTAATCTGGTTTAAGGACGAAATTGTTTTAAATAACAAAATAATTATTCGAATATGATATTAGTATTGTAATAATATTTCTATAATTGTTAGTAGTTTGAAGAAAAATCTTTCTGCTATGTGGAACTCTTGACAAAGATTATTTACGTATCTTAAGTATAAAATAAACGAAGCTGCAGCTAAGTTTCTAGTTTTAATTTATTTATTTTTTTACTTCAGGCAACTTGGTGGCCTATATATAACTTACTGACTACATATATACTTATAAAATAATAATTGTCATTATAGTAACGACACTGTTGGACATTTTGTTCATGTATACGTGACGTTACATATACTTATTTGATCAATCTCGGTTCAAACAAATAATAAAAGTACAATATAGTACAGTAAATAATGAAAGTTAGATTAGTTTTCAATATAGCGGTAGGTACTTCGCCAAATTACGGTGTGGGTAGTATTGCGGATCATAGCATTGACAGTTAACAATGACTCTACCTACCATATCTAGGATTACAGTCGTAATTATTTGTAACAACTTTTATCATTTGAGTAGAAGAGAATAATAAAAAAATATTAAGTTTATGTATGTAATACATTTATACATGTATAAATGTATTACATACATAAATTACATACATAAACTTAATAATAGCAATTACATGTATTTAATGTAAGAAGAAAAGAAAGAGACTACATAAAAATAGAATTACAGAAAAGTATTTAAAGAGATAGAGCTTAAATTTATTCCATTAAATAAAGTCGATTATTTTTCACAATGCTACTATCGGAATTATGAATGATTTGGAATGGAAAAAAAAGGGATAACTGGGGAATCCGAGACAAAGATTGTTAATATAGCGCATTATCCTACCAATGATTTGTACTGTTAGGTTACAAAGTACAAATCACTGGTAGGATTTAGAGTCAGCCGTCATAATACGGGATTTTAATACTTCTAAGGATTTGTTGGCGCGCACGTGTCAGTCAACAGGCTTTAGATTGGTCGAATAAGGACTACTTCAACTAATAATAATGATTATTTTAGATATTGAGTTGAGTGTTGAAAAATATATTTAGATAATCTCGTATAATACAGTAACAGAGTTCTAATAATTGAAAAAAAAAACAGAGATAAAAACTTTAATTACTTCTTGCCTCTAGGCTACAAATACAAACTAGAGTTTGTACTCCGTTTTCTATGTGTTGTATTGTTGTTTCTTGATTGACACATGTGTAGAAAACGCTTCAAAAACTATTTATCAGGGGCGAGTTGCTGTGTCCACACACAAAAAATCCCACGATTTTAACCACCCGTTAACCATTAAAAATCAAGTGCGGTTTTTAATGGTTGCACGGTACACCACTCTTCATATATGCATATGCATCACAATAACACATACAATTTAAAAAACATATTATTTTAATTGTTCAAAATGTATAATCAAAATGAACAACTAAGTGTGTTGCAGAGGAAGTTGCGCGGGTCAGTTAGTAATAGATAAAATAAACGCATATTAATGCATGACATATTAATGAATATTATTTTAGTGTTCATAATATTTTAAATAGAGCGAGGCTCAAATCATTGAAAGGTGAAAGAATTCATTAAATCGCAGAAATAAGATAGGTACAAAAATTGTCATATCGAATAAAAAAAAAGATTTGTATGTGCGTATAATTTATTATATTAATCTGATTACTTAGTAATTATTGCAAACTCACTGGAATTGTCTAATCTTAACAATCGTTCAATAATCTCATCTATAATCAATACTTATAGCTGCCTCTTTCTCTGTAACAATCATCACAATATCCATCACGTTACTTGAATAAAAATATACACTAATAATACCTAAATACATATATGTATAGTAAATTTTAGACAGATGTTATTCTTGCTCAATCCAAGATAATTGACTATCGGCGCTAAAACGTTCATACGACTACCATCTTTTCTACTGTTACTCATTCCATATTTAAATTTTAATGTGAGTTTGTTGTTTTTGTATTAAGTATTGAATTGAATTGAATCCATAATCAATTTTTATTTAATTTCATTTACTAGCTAGCAGATTTATCTGCGACTAGCGGTGGCACTGTCACCATTGTCACCCTCGTTGACGATGCTGGGGGTGTCAGGGAGGTTTGGAGTGGTGTTAGTGATGGTGGTAGGAGTGGTTGGGGTGGTCGGAGTTGTCAACCCAGCTGGTATGGCGATGTCGTCAGCAGCGGTTGTTGCAATCACCAGAAGCAAGCCAAAAGCGAATAGTGCCTGAAATTACAAAATAGTAAAATGTAGTTGCATTATATTTAGGTTAATAATTAAGCAGTGACTTTTAGCCACGATTTCGCTATAAATCTTTATATAATATATTAGTTGCTACCTTCGAATTCCTGAACGTTTAATAAATAAGATTTCTAAAACAAAAGTAGCCTAAATAACTCCTTATAATATTAAATATGCAATAAAAGCTAGTGAAAATCGGTTCAGCCAGTCCAGTCCCATCAAAATAGTCTTCCAGACCCCTTAGGTAAGTATTTATTATTCGACTTATCTGTACACAATCGACTACTATGTATCGTGATCAGTCTGCATCCTATCACGTCCACATTTATCTATTTGTCAATCTAAGCAACATGGTAATGGAACGAAATTCGACTAGCTATCTTTTATAGTTTTGCTTGCTCACGTTATTAAAAATAAAATGTAATGACGCTGTTGTTGCTGCAAAGGTACCTAATCCTAAACATGAACTGTCCGTATCTTAAGTGTCATTGAAATTCGTTCAGTCTTATGCCCCTAAGTAAATAGGTAAAAAAATTATAACTTACAGATTTATATCCTATGTGTATATCTCGTTAACGCCTATTGTTTTTATTACACAATATTATCATTAGTTTTATATTTATAACTGTAAGTATATATTTATATTTATAATATAAGTAATATTATAAAAATGTAACGGATTTTGTTATAAAGTAGACTCCGGAAGAAAATTCCGGAACCACAAAGATTTGAGAAATTCTTTCACTATTTGAATATATTAATATTACAGAGGTACATGAAGTCGAGGGTGTTTACTAGTTTTATTATAAAATTCATAGACTACATAATAAAGTATTGATAATTACTTACGGCGAATTTTCCCATGTTGAATGAATGAAGTGATGAAGAACTAGTAACTGTACAATCTCTTCTGGATTTGAGGAAGGAGTCGCCATGAATCCTTTTATATCTGCTGTAGATTGTGCGGTGCGTGTGAAATGATGAAATAAGCTTGGACAATTGGATAATCATAGAAATTGCTTCGGGAAATAATTAAAACGGACAATTACAATGACATTCGTGATTAGGAAAAAAAGACAGGTAAATGCAGGTTCGTCGAAGCACTCCTGTTGTATTGAATGGTTCCGTGCCATTACAACTTTAATTGATATTGTGAACTGCATCTGTAGTATATGTGCATATCAGCATTTATTATTTGTGAAAGTTTAAAGTTCAAGTTCAATATCTTTGAGATAGGGTCCTTGTGTTAGTACATTAAGAGATAATTTTGTGCGTCGAATTAATGTAAATAGTATGCAAGGCTTGCATACCCTCATCTGTTTGTTTAGTAATAAATTAGCATATAAATAGATTTAGCTACCTAAATCCTGAGTCATCATTTCATGTGGCATCTTTTAAACCAAAAGGAAGATCGACCTCACTGGACCCATATCTATATATGTTATAAACTCATAAACATAACTATATGTATACTACTCGAGGTTTAGTAATAAACAGTCAGGATTATGTTATAAATAAATAAATTAGTCATTACTTTATTAATAACTGTATTAATTACATCCAGAGAAAACAACATTCACAATGAAAAGAGTGAATTAATCACTTTAACATCTCTATTCTACGTTTTCAGTTATGACATCGAAGAGGCATTTGCTAATTGTATTCTATGTTTAAAGTTCCTTCTTTTCTATATTTGAAATTCCATTGTTGTCTACTTATAAATGAAGACCTTCTATTCATTGTAATAATCTCACTATGCACCGAAGGTTCTATTCAGGTATATAAACGTTATTGTGTGAAATGTATTGTTTCATGTTGATCGACAATAATATTACAATATAAGCGGTAACGTGGTTTGAAATATTTATTAATGTGTTGTCTCTTCATTAACAATACAAGGTAGTAAGTAGAGACAGCACCCGTAAGTAGTGGTAAAATTTGTGAGTTGTTACGATTTTATCAATTCTTTTAGTTTTGGATAACTTATTTGTCGAGGTATCCTGTAGCCTATACAACATTACGCTACAATTAATAAGAGATCGAGCCGCAAAAAAATTTTTGCTAAAACGGAGAAAAATTTGTCGCGCATCTTCATCAGGATCAGGTGGTTTGACAACAATATCAAACTTTTTAAAAATGCATGAGTATTCCTCTTTTAAATGTCTCTTATTTGATGTCAATATACACACTGGAAGGGGCATAAGGGAGAGAGGGACGGATTTCATATTGGAATTGGAATAACTAGATACAGTAATTATATTATTAAGTTTATTTTATATTAATAACTGCTGTGTAATTTAAACAAATGAATTATTTAAATTATAATTACATTAATGATATTTTGTGTGCTTGTTGAAAACGTCCTTACTTTCCGTCGCGCGCATAAGGGGATGGATCTGAAACACGAAATAAAAAAATATATACCATAATCTCCCTTATTCTGACTTTGGTGATCCAGCGATTCAGTATTCCACTTGTAAGCATCTCTTACGAACTCGAAAGCGGAATACGCGATGAGATTGTACATTGGTATTCTGTAAAACTTGATAGCCACTACATTGCACACACTCGAGAGCGAGATGGAGGTAAAACAGGCACTAGTTTTTTTTTTTAATATAAACAAACTCGATAGCTCAATAGGAACTTTATATTTGACAAGTGATACCAAGTAGTACCTTGAGTGAAAAGAGTTGATAAAACGCTTACAGAATACCACAGTATCAAAATATACAGTTGAGTTAAATTTTATCAGGATACAAATACATATATATACATTTGTGTTTGTGTGGTCTTCGATATTTAAAGTACCTACTAGGTTTAGTGGTCTAGTCGTTCAACACACAAGGTTACAAATATTTGTATTCATAAGTATGATTGTTTGTATTGGTCTGAATTATTTCTATATATATTAATTAACCATTTTCCATCACATTAGCCGTATGTTTGTTTGTCACCATCGTAGTAAAAAAAATATGTATTTATAATAAAATTATATAAGTAGTATTTCAATTATTTGTACAGTACCTACCAATATGACAAGAACTGCTTAGCGTGGCCATCTAATGGCGCTGTGTGTATTGTCCAAGGTTATTATCATTATTATATATAAAGTACCACTTGTCTAAGAAGAACAGAGTATATCTATACATTTTAAAGAACTTACATTGCTTTGGTGGGTAGTTGGGCCTAGAACCCTCAACTAATGCCGGGCCAGAGCCTGTAAAAAGAGCATATCAAAATTTGCGTTATACAAATAAACTCATAATATTCTACAGGCAGTTAAGGAACATTGTTAGGTCAAATTGTGACAAATCTATTTTATTTGACGTTATATATTTTACGGAAATTTGTACATAATTAACTGATATGGTAATAATCTGTGGGCAACCTTAGCCTACATAGATCATGGATCTATGTAGGCTAAATTCACATGTCTATAAATTCACTGTCATATGAAACGTATGGTAAATAAAATGTGTCAGAGAGGTGACTACTACAACCTAGAGTAACTCTTTGTACAGTCTACCCCAACGACAATATTCATGAAACAGATTAGGCCTCTGTTTAAGAAACGTAAAAGTTTTTTAACTCACTAATCGGTTCGTAGCCACCGTTGTTGGAATTCTCTGTAACAAAAAATTAAACATTAACTAAACAATAATCTGACTAAGAAGTATATAATTATTAAGAATATGAGAGATTATATAGATACTAATTGACCTAACACTGTGTCTAAAGGTACCCATCCTTTGAATCATAAATGCAGTGTGTGGTTCGCCGTAATATCGTAAATGTAAGTGTTTTATTAGGAAATAAAGATTATTATTATTATTACTTAAAATATGAGTAAAGATTAACTATAAGCCGGTAGGTCACTAACTTCATCAGGTCTTTTGCATGGTAAGCACAGAGAACTTAGATATAGTACGGAACAACTAACTTACCGTTTAGTAAAGTTTAGTCTCCATATAATCAAATAGTAGTAAAAGAGTTTATATATCTCTGGGATAAATGGAAGATAGTACCAAATTTGTAAAAATAATCCCAAAAATAGTCGTCAAACAGAAGTACATACGTCGTTTAAAATGGAATGGTCAATAAATTTAAAAACATATTCGTAATCTACAATTGTATATTTAAAAATATACTCACGGTTTGTGGGCAAGTAGAAACCTGGGTCGGGGTTGCTGATTACTGTAACAATGGATAGTATATACTTTGTATTGCTATTATCATAGATTAACTGTGTAGTCATACTTTTTCTATACCATTATTATTTCATTGCAGCTTTTACATGTATATCACTTAACATTAAATGAAATTTGAGACAACATTGTCTTTTAAATTTATTCAAAGTATTTACATAAATTAATATTTTAATTTTTCAATTTGAAATTTTTATTAAATTTAGTAACTAAATACAAAAACTTACCGATTTGGTCGCCGTTTTGACCTGTAAAATAAAATGAATTAGTAAAATTGTATTTTTGTAGAGAAGTTTTACTAAGTATGATGAATTTTCAAAATAGTCAACTAATTACGACATGATTAGACATACATATGGACGTGAAACTTTTCGTGTACAAAGGCTGTATCACAAAGGACATAGGGTCTTTTATTACCAAAAAAATGTCGAATTCCGGATAATAGCTAATTTACAATAACTTTATATTAGTATTCTCACCATTTGTGGGCCTGTAGAAACCTGGGTCAGGGTTGGTGATCACTGCAACGATAAATTGTACTTCAATGGAAAATGACATTTCATTACGTGATTACATATATTCAATTTCAAATATACATATAGGAAACATGCAGAATTGTATATTAAGTGTATATAGTGTAATGGTAGTAGGTATGAAAGAAAAATACAACCAGCAGACCAATTCAATAAGCTAAGCAAGTAAGTAAGCAATATATAGTTATACATAAAAAGAAATAGGTACGACAATGATGCTTAATAATAGCTAGTGTATTTTGTACATAAAACATAAAACCATATGTGCTTTTTTACAAAATACACTGAGTACATATAGAATACATGTTCCCTGTTCGTCTGTGTGTATGTAACGATAATATTATAAACTCCAATGAATTTAAATGCGGTTTATGACTGATTTTTTCTTCAGTAATGTTTAAATATATATAATTCGTTAGGATTTTGTGTTTTAAGTCATAAACACACGTGACTAACTAGGGGCAACACGCTAATACATAATAAAATAAATCATAACAACAAAACGTTTCAAACCGATGAAACTACCTTTGTTTACGAAATTAATTTGACCATGTTTATGAGAATTTCTCTCTATATAAATGTACTTATATTAAGTCTCAAACAAAATAATAATAAAGTTTTAAATTGCAATGTTCGGTCATTAACTACCATGTCCAAAATTTATCGAACTGACTCTGCCGATACATAGTTTATATACTATGATAGCAAACAAGCTACACAGCCTATCTTATAAGAAACGGTAACCGTAGCCTATTGAAGCCAAGAGTATACAACACGCATTGCCTATTCTTAAGAGACCTTATTGAAATACGCCACGCTATAGTGTCTAGAGAAAACCTTACCAGGTAGTTCATTCGACAATATAAGTGTACGTGATTATTTTTAAATAAAACTATCATGCCGTGCAATAGAGTAACTTACCGTCTTGGTTGGGTTCGCTGTTCTCTACGACTCTAACTGAAAATGTATGAAAAGATATATTCAATTAATCGAACCCCTAATAGAATTGTAAATATTGATAACAGAGAATTTTAATCTACATAATAATTTTCTATGAATTTTTAAGATGACTATGATATTTACGGAATGTTTTGTACAAATATTATGTACTGCTACGAGTATGTACGAATATGTTTTACCTCTATAATCGGGTTGGTTGTTGTCCGCTACATTGACTGTAACAAAGGAGTTGAAAGTGGAAATGTAAAGCAGTTGTAGTAATCAGCGTTAAGTAACATGATTGTATGAACTACAGGCTAGAAATATTGAGAAATAAAGCAGACAACAGGTTAGAAGATAGCGTAATTATTGCGAGAAATTGATATGGACCACGAAAACATAAATTACGAGTACAAAGTTGTAAAATATTGTGTGAATGTGAATAGAACAGGCTGTTTAACACACGCATTTGTAGCTACATCTAAATTTCTTGTCCATTCTTCTTGATCATTTCTTCCTCATTTGTCATTTCTATCTGCATTTCGAATTAGCGGTAGAGTAAACTACCTGTACTTTTCACTATACCGCCAATTCGGGAAACTTAAATGTAGTATTAAAGATTGACATCATACCTCTATCTTGAGCTGAAGCCATCGCTGCTAATGCAACAAGGACGATCTGGGAAACAAGAAGCAACTTCATTATGTGATGGTTTACGAACAGTGAAATGAATTAAGGAATTTGTTTTGAATTCGACACAAACAGTGATACTTTCAGTCTAAGTTACGGATTAGACGATGAAGCATTTATGTATTTACTGACATGTTGATAATCTAATGTCAATAGATGATTTTGCTTTTCAGATAAGATAATTGTGACGCTCTATCTATACATTCGAATCTACACGGTACATCTATATAACAAAGGTTAAAAAGTTTTTTTACGTGTGCTACATCTCAACTATATCCCATGTAATTTGGCATACCATTATAGATAATAGTAATAATACCTCTGGAGAATTCACACAACGCCATCTAATCCTAAGTACTCTTTTGTAAATACATAACAACACCTAGACCGATACAAACATCATTCTTTGACAAACATCACTTGATGAGTACAAACGTTTACACAGTGCGAGAAATTGAAACCGCGACAATCGGAAGTAACGCTGTATGCTAAACCGTAAGACCACCGAGGTCGTCAATTTAGACCGAGATTTATTTTGAACTTACAATTTTTTTTTTATTACCGTACACTTATTCGAGATTTGCTAAGTATTATAGTATAATATACTTTTTATGTCTAATTTATTTTATCTCAATCTATTTTGACAATAATACAGTAGTATACTTTCAACAAAAGTTAGATCAAAATATATTAATACATATATTTTGATCTAACTTTTGTTGAAAGAGTTCACCAAATAGATGTGAAATTCTACTCTGTGTGTGAAATTACCTAACTATTAATAATTATCTAACTTTTTTGTTGATTCTCCATTGTATGAAAAAAAAAAGTATAGGCAGGACCACAACATTAGGTAAATGTTTATAACAATTTACTAGAAACCTATATCTATAGGTAGGTACAATATTTATTGCGATCTCGCAAATATTTAGATGTTTATCTATGAAATGTCTCCGGCGACGCACTTTAGTTTGATTGATAGACTTCCGGTATTGAAATATTCATTTTGAAATATTTCACGAATAGAAAGTCATATAAAATAATCAATGTATTGTATGTACCTATATCATCTCGTGTATTTTGAATATCTCTGTTCTATAGTCGAATGTTCGAGACATCAGACAACTGACGTTGGTAATTGTTTTTCTTATCATTTATTTTATTTATTCTACCACTCATTCAGAAAATAGACTTGACACAAAAAGATCTGAACGTTGCTCTTTTAAATAAATGTTGCTCAGCATTACATTTTTTATATTTTGTGTTAATACAAATTATTAAACAGAAAAGAAAGTACAATAAACATACTATTATGGCACTTATCGGCCATTGACTCTACTGTGGCTTAGGTGTTACCTTTAATTTATATGTCAGAGATGTTGCTGTAGAGCAACACATATGCACTGCTGCTTTACATATATAAAAAGGTAAGAATATTGTGTGTAAATACGTTAGTGGTTGATATGGATGGATGTTTGTTACTCTTTCACGGAAAAACTACTGAATGGGTTTTGATGGAACTTCAGAGTAATATAGCTTATACATCAGCTATAGTTTAACACATAGGCTATAGTTTAGAAATATATTATTTGAATTGAGCGAAATATAATGATAAATGTCAAGGAAGTCTGATACAGACGAAGTTGCGCGGATCAGCTAGTTCGTAATAAAATCTAATATTTAACTTTATAATTACTTATTCAGGTATGCCTATTAGTACTCACTATTCACGTAGGTATTCCAAACTATCTACAAGGAAAACAAAGGAGCAATGTGTACAAATAGAATTTAATAATATTATATATTACTTTTTAATTTACAAAACTCTATACCTATTGATTGATAATAACACTACGTTATACGTATATTATACACGTATATTATACATTTTCTTTCATAAAATTAATGACACACATTCAATATAATAAAGGAATCAGGTCAGTATCTACTTACTTATGAGAGAACAAACACTTTCTAAAACACACTAAACTATATTGTATTAGTGTACGGTTTATATCACGGGACAGGAATTTGATAAGTGACTGGTTTTTAATAAAAATTGCTGATTAATTAATTGATACTAGTACGTCAACTCGTAATGAAAAGATAAGTAGGTAATCGCCAATTTATCTCTAATGTAAACAAACTTTTCGTCACCGGCTGACTGACTATCAACGCACAGTTAAATCGCAATCGTAAAAAACTTTAATAAACACTAACCAGATAAATAAATATTTACCAAATATTGAACGCTTAAAATAGTTACTCCACCAATACAGAAGATTCCTTGCTAAATAAAGACTAAATTATTATGCCATATCTTTCCATATGACAAACTCTATATCTACCCGTTCGGTGGCTCATTTTACTAATATTCCAAACGCGGAAGTTTTATGAATGTGGATGGATAAATGTTTGTTATTCTTTCACGCAAAAACTAGAATGAATTTTAATGAAACTTTCCAATTTATATATATTTATACATCAGAATGTAATAAATATTCTATAAATATCACGCGGGTGAAACCGCGCTAGTCGTTTATAGATGAGGCAGGTAATATAAGATGTCTGAAAATTACAATGGTAAAATTAGTCAATAAAATTGACACCAGTGATTTGGCGGTGCTGAAGTATGTAGATTAGGAAGTTAGGTTAGTATCCTAAGTACGACTAGAGCATCCTATAATGACGTCAATTTCCGACTATTGGCTCCTGACCATGGTGACAGAACCATTAATCAAGGCTGCTACTCGCTATGCAAATAGATGAATAATGTTTGTTTTTTTTTTTGGTCTGACGAGACATTACATCATCTTCAATTAATGTTTAATTTATAAAATCGATAGGTATATACCAAGTTTTGTGTAGTGAGATAAATATTTAAGTAGGTACCTATTCTTTTAACTCTAATATACCTAATTGAAGTTATCTAAGTATAATTAACTTGCTGACACGACTACATTTTTTTTAAGATCCTGTTTCGACAGACAGTCTAAAGTTAGTAAAAAAAAGTAAGATAACAAAAAAAAAAAATAACCCAGTGTTGTCCATTAAATTGCCATACCTAGTCAGGAATATGTTATTGGTGTCATTTGAAGTACTAAGGAATTAATAGAAATATATTTCTAAAACACACAAAACATTCATAGAAATCGCCCAGACAAATAGAAACCATCATGTTCAAGAGTACAAAAATCGAATCTGCCTGCCTGTCTGTTGTTTATAGATCAAGAAGAAATGTAAAAAGATCACATTTGGATAAAAATGAAACTTATAGAAAACCTCGATTGGAGGAAGACCCGGTACCAGCAGCGCACTGCCCATGCGGTGTATCGATATATCGCATTTGTTAAGAGTAGCCTGATATGGACATGAAAGGTCCATTGGTGGAGGCCTATCTCTTACAGCTTATGAATATAGGTAGAAAGGACAGAGTCACTTAAAAATATATTATAAGGTATTATAAAAAACATTACAATATATAACTAGATATTCCTATTTAAAGAGAAATTGACACAATACCCAAAATTAATGTATTTAGAGAGATCAAAATGTTACACTTGATAACAAGCAAGGTCACTAGCGATAAAACTTAAATGTAGACTTGTATCAAGGTACAGTTAAATTCTTACTGAGACTTGATTTATGTCTCGCGTTTACCAACTGTACTCAGATTTAATAATAATAATTATTATAATAACACTTCATTGCAGACTTTTTTTATGCTGAAATTAATTTATGGTATATAAAAAATCGAGATATACGCAAAGACATACCTTTACGTATATCTCATTTTTAATACCTGTAAGAAGTTATGTTGAAATATATATTGAAAGGCTTTCAATGTATTAATCTAACTAGGTTTGATTTAAATAATAGATTGCAATATTAATACAAATTTTTAACGGCGTTTCTATCGCTGGAAAGTTGGTCTGAAATATTTTTACGGCGTCTGCCATATTTGAACTCGCGACCTATCTGTCGAGGTACTAAGTATAGATGTATATTGTATTTAACTAAAAGAACATCAACAATGACAAAGACATAGATGTAGAGAGTTACTTTTTTGGGATTCGAGTAGATTTATAAAAAGTTCAATATAAAAAAAAATTAAATAAGAAATATATTAATTATACTACTTACCACAGCAACTTTCATTATTAAAAAAATACGAAAAATAATTGGGCACAACTGAAACGGAACGTATCAAACGTATAGTTAATGTGTTATTACATTGTGCTAAGCGTATTCTTTTATAGTGACGGCTAGATAACCTACACCGACCCGGGTAAATATTTTAAGATTCGCTTATTTAAACACACTAAGGTTCCATTGAACATACATACGTCGTTTTCCTTTATGGATTCCGCTAAATTTACTCATTTATTTTGACAATGTTTACAAAGTCTGCTTGTGGACGCAAATATTGATTGTTTCCCGTGAAAGGTGGTGTAATTGTACGATAGTGTTATTTATATTAATTGTTTTTGTTTGTTAACAGGAAAATTACTAAAAATATAGGTATTAATACTGAGAATATTGTTGTTTTTATTATTTATGCCTGAAACAACTGCAATGGTAGTTCTGTAAGATTGTATTTTTGTATGTTATCCCCTATATTTGCTAAATCTTTACCGATTTTGAGTACTCCGTATTTTTTTATTTAATAATAATTTTGTTAAGTTTAAAGTATACACCTAACTAAATTTAAATTTATGGAACAAATTAATTAAACTTTAAAGTAAAATTTAATTAATTTGATATTTTTTTTATCTAGTCCCAAGCTAAGCAGAGCTTGTATTATGGGT